ATATATATATATTACCAGAGGCTGTATGTGCTCACCAGAGACAGACAGAGAGAGAGAGAGATAGAGGGAGAGAGAGAAGCATCCGCTAATGGAGTGCAGTCACAACCCAATCACTTGTCCTCCGTTTCTCCATCTCGTTAGGATTTTGGACATGCACGTGTCTGACATACAAATTTAAAAAATATATATAAACATTTCAAAAAAGAAAAAAGGACAGCCAAGAAAATAAATTCACAATGAATTGTTTTAAGAGGATATCTCGGGGCCAGCAGGGGGCATGGTGGTTAAGGCCCTGGATTCCCACATGGTCAAGCACGGTGAGTCCCAGACTGGCATCTTTCTCTCTCTCTTTCTCTCTCTCTCTCTCTCTGGTGAGCACACATGCCCTATAGCAAATTAAAATAATCATAAATAAAATGGAATAAATAGTTCTTTATAACAAAAGAAAAAGAAAATAGCTCCTTACCTTTTCCACCACCACCACCACCACCAGTAAGGGAAGCAAATGGTCATGGAATCTGACTCATCAATTTCTTCTTTTTTTTTTTAATTTAACTTTTATTTATTTTAATTTGACAGAGAGGGGCAAGAGAGAGAGAAGGAAAGTGAGAAAGGAAGCCACCAGGTCCGGGACCTGAAACGCGGTCAGCCAGGTGGGAGTCCAGCATCTTTAACCACCATGCCACTTGCTGGCCCCTCATCAGTTTCTTATGAAAGTAGGGTCCTCGTGTCACACAAAAGCTTTGTTTCCAGGGCCAGCATGTGGCATAGTGGCTAAGGCACTGGACTCCCACATAACCAACTGCAGTTCAAGTCCTGGACCCAGCAGCTTGAAACTCATGTCAGGCGGGTGTGTGTGTGTGCCCAAAATCCCAAGAGGAAAAAGAAGAAGAAGGAACTACAGCATGGTCATCCCCCCAGAGGGTGAGCTCTCATTTTCTCTCTATCTCTGTGTCTCTGGCGAGCATACATGCCCTATAGCAAAAATCTCTCTCTCAAAACAAAAAGCTTTGTTTCCTGGGCCGGTCCTGCAGTGCTGGGGTTAAGTGCTGAGCATGGAAAGCTGGTCCCACATGGCCAACCATGGTTTGAGTCTCAGCCCAGAGACTTAAGCACACACTGTGTGCACGTGTGTGTATATGCCCAAAATTCTGACAGGAAGGTGGAATGAAGGAAAGGGGACTGCAGTATGTTTAGGGGTGCTTTCTCTCTTTCTGCCCTCCCCCCAAAAAGTCAAACAGAACAAAAAAATCTTTGTTCCCTCCTACTTTGATGCTCCATTCCTGAATGAGACGGCAGCCAGGTCCCAGGGAAAGCCATGTCTGGGGCTGCGGACCTCATCTCTACACCCACCGAATGAACCTCCCCACCAGCTCCTTCTCTGGAAACACTTCCCTGCCCCACTTCCAGGTCACCTATTTCTCGGACTGGCCTTGGCCTGGCTTTGCCCGTGTTTTGATCCCCTGTCTAAATTTGGAGCAGAGGACCCACAGTCCAAATTCTTAGCCTGCTTCTCAGCCCACTACACAACCTCTACCAGAGAACACGTCTAAGAGCGTGTCGGAGGAGTCACGGCATATTTTTCCAAGTTACTCCAGGCAAAAATGCATCATCCCTTCCCTGACAGCCCAGTATTTCTAGAGACTTCATCGCCACCAATGGTACTCAATTAGGAATTGTTTTGCCCCATTGGGGACATTTAGCAAGATGTGGAGACATTTTTGGATGTCATAACTAAGGGTGTGGGCAGGTATTAGGGACATCTAGTAGATAATGCTGACTTTCTACAATGCCTCAGGACAGCTCCCACAACACGTAACTCTCTGGACTGAAACGCCAACATGCCGCAAACAAGACACCCTGATGTGCACAGACAACCTCGCTCTTTCACCTGACAGATATCCGCTACTAGGCCACGAGGAAAGTCATGACCTTCCCAATGCTTCCCAGTCCACCGAGGGCGCGCACAGGGTCTGTGCATGCAAGCACTAATCCGAGGAGCATATGCCCTGAAAAAGAGAACCTGCTGGGCCCACCCTGTGGTCTACCAGTTAAGACAGAGAGACCACATATGGCCAAGTGCACAGTTCGAATCCTGGGACAGCAGCTTGAAAAACATGCTGGGCCAAGTATGTGTCCAAAATCCTAAGAGGACCGAGGAATGGGGGAGAAGGAATGGCGGCATGACCATTCCCCACCGGGAGGTGCTTTCTCCTCTTCCCGTTCTGCTTCTCTGGCACGTGTATGCACCCCGTGGCAAATTAAAAAATAATAATAATTTTTAAAAAGAGAGAGACAGAGAGAGTCTGGAGAAAATGTGCCACGCCCAGTCTAAACAGACCAGTGCTCAAGCCACTCTGGGGCGACTCCACTCGCCTGTCCCATGTCCAAAACCAAACACTCCATGACCTTCCTTCCACCCATCCCCACCCAACCTGATCTTCCTTTTATATTCTCTCTATATATATTTAAGTTTATTTAAAAACTGTATTTAATCCATGACTGAGAGAACAGAGAGATAGCCCCCCAGCAGGGTCCTAATAGGACCTTACAGGACCCACGCTCGGTCGGCATCAGCCAGCCCCAGGTCGTGGTCACACAGACGCCCGCAGCATACTCAGGGAGATCTCTGGACATGAACCCGGAACCTTCCCATGTTGGTGAGCCTCACAGTGCCACGTTTTACCACTGCATTGCTGTCTCACCCTGATTCTCCATCATGTCTCTTAGATACAGTGTTTCCTTTTTTCTTTTCCTTCTTTTTTGTTTATTGCCAGAGGATGCATGTACTTGCCAGAGAGAAAGAGAAAGAGAGAGAAAGAGAGAGCACCCCCACAATGGGGCACGGTCATATCACAATCTCCTCTCCTCTGTTTCTCCATCCTGGGCATGTCTCTCAACAGCCAGGGCTGAGACTTGAACCGCAGTCAGATACATGGGGTCAGGCTTCCCATCTACTAGGCTACAGTGCTGGGCTCCCTACAACTTCTATCAGACTCCCAAAGAGTGAGGCCAGCAATACTGACGAACTGAAGTGTCTCCCTCTTGCCCGGTACTCCCGGAACATGAGTCGAGTCGTTGTGAATTCATTCTGGTAACATTCCTTGTGTGTGTTCTCCTTGCCCAAGTTCAGGGTGCTCAAAATGCTTTGTAACAAAGGCACATTTCATAGCATTTCAGGTTTCCCTGGGGTGTTTTTGTTCTCTTGTTTTTAGCAAGAAGCACTAGAGGTAACATGGAGGAGGTAGAAGGAAGATCTGCTTGGAGGTTAAAAGATACTTTGAATCTAGCTACTGAGTGACCTAGAACAATTTATTGATTTCTCTGAGCTTCAGTCTCTTTCTCTATAAAAACACATATTCAAACCATCGGTTTGTTGTAAGGATACCTGGCAGTCACTATGATATTGTAATTGTGTTCAACCTATACATGGCTCATCTACTGTAGACACTGAAGTCCCGTCTAGAACGGACCGATGGTATAACCACAGCGTAGTACGTCATTTCAGAAATCTCTCAGGCTCCTCTGACTCTATTTAGGTGTAGGGTTTTTTTTTCCCCCTTTTACTTTTACCTGTGTGTAGTGAGATTTTTAGACAGGGGCTCAGCGATGTGGTGATACTCCTGCCTCAGCCTCCGAGTAGATGAGACCACAGATGCAACCACGCCGATTATTTTAAGAGTGGGCCAGACAGCAAACCCGGGCTGCCCTTGTCTCATTCTGCCAAGCAACAGCCTGCAGGGTGCGTGACCACGGCTGGGCCATAAGCGAATTTTTTAGATCTTTAATTCATGCTTATTTCCCGGGACCAGAAGATGGCGCAATGGTTTACGTTTCTGAACTCCCATGTAGTCGGCTGAGGTTGGAGTCCTGGACCCAGTGGCTTAAACTCACACTGAGCAAGTGTACAAGTGTGCCCAAGATCCCAAGAGGAGAGAGGAGAATGGAGAAGAAGGGACTGTGTGCGGCATGGCCATCCCCCTGGGGGCGATTTCTTGCTTTCTCTCTCTCTCGGTCTCTCTGGTGAGTGCACACGCCCTATAGCAAAAATCTCTCTAAAATAAATAAATAAATACATAAATAAAAGGAATGATAAATGTTAATGACAGTGACAGACGTTTTATTGTTATTATTTTATGTAAGTCAAGGCCAGGTGATATGGGGGAGGGAGAGATAGGCCAGACAAAGGTCTTTGTTTTCATCCCTCTTAAACCGGAACACAACAGCTCAATTGATAAACTTAAAACTCCCTAAGCCGGGACCAGCAGTTAGCATAATGACTATGTCGCTGGACTCCCATATAGTCGACCATGGTTCGAGTTCCGGACCCAGTGGCGTAAGCTCACGCCGGGCGCATGTGTGTGCATGCCCAAGATCCCGAGAGGAGAATGGAGGAGAAGGGATTGCAGCGTAACCATCCCCCCTGGGGAGTGATTTCTCGCCTTCTATCTCTCTGTCTCTCTTTCTGGCGAGCACACACTCCCTATAGCAAAAACCTCTCTCCAAAAAAAGAAAAAAAGAAAACTCCCCAGGCCAGCCCCACAGTGTTGTAGCTGAGCCCTGGGTGGGCACAGGAGCCAAACCCCAGTGGCTTGAAAAACACACCAGGCATGTGGGCCTGTGTTCCCAAGCCTGATGGGATGGGAAAACAGAGGAAAAGAACTGCAGAGGGCCCACACCAGACTATGGGGTGATTTCTCATTCTTACTCTCCTGGCTTCCTCTGCTGGACTCAGGCTCTCTCTAGCAAAAGGTAAAATGAAACAAACCTCCCAAACCGGTTTCACAATCCTGGCCCAGCAGTGCGGCCTGAGCACGAATTACACTTACTTGTTCCACGTTATAAAAGTTCCTCTCTGGGTTGAAATACCAAGACCAACAATTTCGTTCATCTGTATTCCTGCAGCTAAAGGGAAAGATAGACAAAACACATATTTAAAAGCCAGGAATGTTTTTCTTTACAGTATTACTGTATGGAAATGATTCAATAAAATCTCGAATAAAAACATCTGGGTTTAACATTTTAATACAACAATTGAAGCTAATTATAAAGCATTATAAATGATGATTTTTACAGCTTTTTGCCTTTTATCTTAAAGGAATAAAAAAGATTATATGGGGCCAGCAGGTGGCATGATGGTTAGAGACACTGGATTCCCACATGGCAACTGCAGTTCGAGTCCCAGACCTGGCAGTTTTTTCTTGCTCTCTTTGGTGAGCATATGTGCTCTATAGCAAATTGAATAATAATAATAAATAAATGAAATTAAATAATTTTTTGGAGAGGTTTTTGCTACAGGGTGCATGCACTCACCAGAAAGACAGAGAGACAGAGAGACAGAAAGTGAGAAATCACCCCCCTAGGGGGGATGGCCACGCCACACTCCTTTCTCCTCCATTCTCCTCTCAGGATCTTGGGCATGCATGCGCACACAGCGTCCATGAGTTTAAGCCACCGGGTCTGGGACTCGAACCGTGGTCGACCACATGGGAGTCCAGGGACATAGCCATTACGCCAACTGCTAGTCCCTATTTTCTTCTTGATAACACTAAAAGATTGGGTCTTGATTTAAGCACCGGTCCATCCTAACAGAAGCTGGCTGGGGCCATAAAGGAAAACCCTTCGGAAAAACAGCATAATTACTGAAGCTCAAATCTTATTTTTAGCACAGACAGATGCTAGATATGAATAAAAGCATGACTTTCTAGTCACAATTCCTTAAACTATAGTAACTTGTGGGTTTTGTGAAGACTATCAAATTATCTCCCTGGAAAACGTGTGGGAAAACTCCATTTTCAGCACTGAGGGGAATGTATCAGCCTTTTTATAGTATTCCGTCAAAAATATTTAACCTGAATCTAGTCATGAGGAAATCCTCGGACAACTGAAAAACGAGGAGCAGGGCACTAAACTGGCCCTGCTACCAACAAGTGCCAATGTCGCAAGGCACGCCCCCACGGTGGTGGGTTCAAGGAGGCCACTGCCTGACAGTCACACCACAATGCCTCATCTCTGGGCGGAGCCTGGTGTGCAAAAGAAAATTTTTTTTTTTTTACTAAGAGGAAATATTGCAGAATGAGTACTGTATTACTATGGAAGAAAACAGTACTGCGTTACTTTTCCTGAATGTGAAAATTACGTCACGCTTACGGAGCTAAGTGCTCCTGGTCTTTGAAGACACTGAGTATACACAGGTGACAGCTTCATGATGTCACAGCTGACCTCGGGACGACTCCGGAAGAGAAAAAGGTTATGGAGAATGGTCAACATTTCAAAATATGCTTGGATCTAGGAAAAGGGTATACAGATGCTCAGTGCACTATCCTTACAACTTTACTGTTTTAGGTTTTGAAATATTTCAAACCAAAAAGATGGGGGAAAAGTCATTCAGTAAGAAAAATGAAGGAAAAGACCTTTTACAGTTTACGCCGACGAGTCATCGTTGGTTGTGTACTTAAGTGAGTTTGCACTGATACTGTTCTTTAAGAGCTGCTCCTGTGGCCTCGGTTAAGGGAGCTGGATCCTATGTGGACAATCGCGGGTTCAAATCCTGGCCTCAGAGGCTTGAAAAGCATGCCGGATGAATGTGCCCAAATCCTGCCCCAGATCCTGACAGGGTGGCGAAACTGAGAAGGGACCGTGGCATGACCACACCCCACTGTGGTGCATTCCCCTTCTCTGCTTCTCTCTGGCAAGCACAGAGCCCTCTGGTCATTCAAATCAGGAAGAAAGAGAAAGAAAAGGACTGTCAAAAGCTAAGACTCCAGATGACAGCTGTAGCCAGGAAAGTACTCGGCAATGCCTGGCCTCACAGAAAACAGGACAACAAAACCAACTTTATAGTAAAGGTCACTCCGCTACGAACTCACTGGATGAGGAACTGGACACGGAAACTTTAAGACCTTCTGGCATTCTGTACCCGACGGAAGATCAAGTCGGTGCCAGCTACAATCTGTCCTGGAGGGTGAGCATTTACTACAGCTGAAAAGACAACCAGAGGGCCGACTGGTGTTTCTTTTCCTTGCCAAAGTGTTTCACTTGCAAACCACAAAATTCCTCTGAAAAGTACCAGGAACCTGTGATCCCAATTAAACACTACATGTAGAGTTATGATTGAGGACAACCATAGAATTTTCCAGAAGCCTGAGGATAACTTTTACTATAAACAAAGTACACTGCAGAGGATTATCTATTTATTTATTTAGAGGAAGAGAGAGAGAAAGACAGGTGCCCCGAACAGGGTGTTGACATGCCACGACCCTCCCCACAGCTTCCCAGCCAGCGAGGGTCCCAGGTGTACACACGACACCCATGTTCAGGTCGAGCTGGGATGGGAACCCAGGCCTCCTGTACAGCCCAGCACCGCACAGCGCCCTACCAGCCATCCCACTCTGGCTGGGTCCAGACCATGGTTAGTTTTATGAATCAAATTACCTTTGACAGCTTCTTTTATGACAGCCACAAACTGAACCCAGAGAACGTCAGGATCATGTTCAACCCAGCCGGGATGAGGATAAAGATTTTTTACCTATTTAAGAAGAGATTTAGTTAAAATAAATAAAAAATAAATAGACTGGATCAATTGTATCTGCGGCTTGAGACTACTAGATAAAACAATTAACACAATCTTGCTATCTAAATTATTTATATTGTTAAAATTGGAAAAAAAATAGTATAAAATAAGAAAGAACTACATACCAACGCCAACACAGCAGGAGTTCATGAGTAGTTAGGAGTTTACGGAAGATTTTAGCTTCCTTAATTTTATCTTTTTATTTAAAAATTACTTGTTTTATTATTATTTTAAGAGTTTTCTCTAGGGGGACCAGCAGATGGTGTAATGGCTATGTTGCTGGACTCCCATGTAGTCGACCACGGTTCAAATCCTGGACCCAGTGGCTTAAACTCACGCCGGGCACATGTGCGTGCGTGCCCAAGATCCCAAGAGGAGAATGGAGAAGTTCTGTCTCTCTGTCTCTCTCTGTCTTTTTGGCAAGTATGTGCGCCCTATAGCAAAAACCTCTTAAAAAAAAAAGTTTCAACTAGGGCACATGTGCTCATCAGAGAGAGACAACAAGAGAAAAGAAAAGTGAGAAAGCAAGCCACCAGGTCCAGGACTTGAACCACGGTCAGCCATGTGGCAGTCCCATACCTCATTCACCACACCACCTGTTGGCTCCCCTTAATTTTATCTCTTTTTTGGAGAGGTTTTTGCTATAGGGCGCGTGCGCTCGCCAGACAGACAGAGAGAGAAAGAGACAGAAAGCAAGAAATCACCCCCCAGGGAGGATGGCCATGCTGCAATCCCTTCTCCTTCGTTCTCCTCTCAGGATTTTGGGCACGCACGCACATGCGCCTGGCATGAGTTTAAGCCACTGGGTCTGGGACTCGAACCACGGTCGGCTACATGGAAGTCCAGTGACATAGCTATTACGCTAACTGCTGGTCCTTTTCTTTTTTAATTTAAAAAAAAAATTTTGAGGGTAGGTTTTTATAACACATTCTTTCCATTAATAATGTTAATAATATTAGCAGAGGTGTGATTTCTCACGTGAGAAAATAAACAATATCGAGGTCTGTGTCTAAGTCACAAAGCCTCATGAAGTGAAGTGAATTCCCGAAACTTTGATCAACTACCATTCACTGACTTATTCTGTACCCGGGACGCAATAAACCAGGTGCTAAATAGCTATGTAGCCCAACAAGAGCCTTGTTCCCAAAGAACACATGTTGTCCGCAATAAGGAACAATTGTTCTTTTCAAATTTCCATTAATTGTGGACCAACGAATTTTTTTTCTTTTTCTTTTTTCCATAGGGCATGTGTGCTCACCAGAGAGACAGTGAGAGGGAGAAACCACTCCAAGGGAGGACGGCCACGCTGCAGTTCCTTCTCCTCCATTCTCCTCTGAGGACTTGGGGTATGCACAGCTATGTGCCCAGTGTGACTATCAAGCCACCTGGTCTGGGACTCAAACCCTGGCCAATTAGTGTGGGAGTCCACTGCCTTAACCACCATGCCACCTGCTGTCCACGGATCAATAATTTTTAAGATTCAATTCAAATAAGTTTCTAGTAAGAAAATAAAATCCCATGACTGGGGCTAGCTGGCGGCATAGTGCTTAGGGTGGCTGGATCCCACATGGTCGACTGAGTAGTTCGAGTCCCAGACCCAGCAGCTGGGAAAACATGTGGGATGCATGTGCATCCCAAACTCCTGAGAGGAAAATGGAGAAAGGACTCAGGAACAGCCATCCCCTTGGGGATTGCTTTCTCACTTCTCTCTCTGGCTCTCTCCAGTTAGTGCATACACGCTATAGCAAAAAAATAAAATAAAATAAAATCCCATGATTACTAGAGTTAATAAAATTATTTGACAAATTGCTACATGGGTTTTTGAACACTTAGTTTTGTGTGTCTCCAAGTAGCCCCAAAACACGCTTCAAGAAGTACTGCGGGATCCAGAGCAATGGTGGGATTCTGTAACCCCAGCTACACGGCTGGCTGAGGCAGGAAGACGGCGAGTTCCTGGGCAACCTAGGAAGACACTGTGTCTAAAAAGAGAAGCCCTGGGACCAGCAGACGGCATAATAGCTACATGGCTGGACTCCCACTTAGTCGACCGAGGTGTGAATCCCAGACCCAGCAGCTTGAAACTCACGTTGTGCGTGCCTAAGATCCGAAGACGAGAATGAAGGAGGAGGGACTGCAGCATGGCCGTCCCCCCGGGGGGATTTCACGCTTTCTGTGTCTCTGACTCTTCGGCAAGCGCATGGGCCCTGTAACAAAAATCTCTCCTAAAAAGTCCTGCTGTTGGCCCAGCAACAAACTTGATGCTGCGCACTGCTGCCTGGTAAGCCAAGCCACATGGGAGTCCTGGGTCCCATTCCCAGCTCACAACTCACCCTAAAGGGCTGAGCACGGCGGTGCACACCTGTGGTCCTGGCCAACAGGCAGTCACCGCTACAACTCCGTAACCTAAAGCAGTACTTCACCCTTGGAGGCCAGGGCTTTTTTGTATTTTTATTTACTCACATACCTTTTCCACTTTAGATTCCGAACAACCTATCCTAGCCTCCTGACACTCACCACAATCAAACTAACGATGGGGCCAGCAGGTGGCATAGTGATTAAGGCGCTGGACTCCCACGTGGGTGATTGTAGTTCGAGTCCTGGACCTGTGCGCTTGAAAATCACACCAGGTAAAATAAGTAAATAACTCTTTTTAAGGGGGTGGGAGTGGCAGGTGGCATGGTGGTTGAGACACTGGACACTCTCACATGGCTGAGCACGGTTCAAGTCTTAGACCTGGTGGTTTGCTTTCTCACTTTCCCTCTCTCTCTGTCTCTCTCTGGTCAAATTAAAATAATTTTTTTTAAAAAAATAAAAAACATCCTATGAAAAAAAAAAAAAAAAAAAAACACCGGGTGCATGTGTGTGCATGCCCCAAATCTCAGGAGAATGGAGAAGAGACTGCAGCATGGCCATCCCTCCAGGGGGTGATTTCTCACTTTTGATCTTGCTGCCTCTCTCTGGTGAGCACACATGCCCCATGGCAAAAACTTTAAAAACACCAACAAACAACTAAGGATTCACCCCAAATTATACAGCAACTGTGAAAATCTGTCATCTCAAACAATTTCTTTCTCTCTTTGCTCCAGTTCTAACAATGTCTTCTCTCTTTGGTTGCAGATATTTCAATTCCTTTATTATTTTTCAGTTTGTCAGAGAGTACTTGCCAGAGACAGCAGAGAGAGAGAGAGAGAGAGAGAGGAAGGGGCCCCCAAGGGGCGTCGTCACACTGCACCCCCTTCTCCCCCATGTCTTCATCCTGCCAGGATTTGGGGCACGCTGACACACATGGCTTGCATGTTTCTTAAGCCACTGGGGCTGGGACTCGAAATGTGTAGACAGCTGTGTGAGATCAAGAACCCTTAACCACAAGGCGACAGGGCCAGCTCCTCTTTTATAAAAAAGAAAAATCACTGCTTAAAGCAAAAGTACTTTGTGTCTAGAATTATAAGGAAGGCTGTGAAAAGTATCGATGTATTCTCGGTAAAGACGCACAAGGGAGGCCGGCAGGTGGCGTGGTGGTTAAAGGCCCGGGATTCCCACATGGCCGACCACCGTTTGGTTCTGGACCTGGTGGCTTGCTTTCTCCCTTTCCCTTTCTCTCTCTCTATCTCCCTCTGGTCAAATTAAAAAATAAGAACAAATAGAATTAATTAATTAGTTAATTCATTCATTCATTCATTCTTTTTTTAAAAAAAAGAAAAGACTCACAAGGCCCGGCCTGGGGGCACAGTTGGTGGCCTACTGCAAGCTCAGCTCCTCAGACGGGTCTGAGAACACACTGGGGACATGTGCACGTGGCCAGGACCCTGACACACTGGAGGGCTGGGGAAGGGGACCTGCAATGTGGCAGGCCTGTCAGGGCTGCTTCTCTTCCCTTCTCTCTTCCTTGCACATGTTTTCTATCCTGAAAGAATTTTAAAAGACTCACAAAGGAGCACCCAGCCACCGTAGGACAATGTCTGCTTTTCATCTGTCTTTCAGGCTGGAGTAGGAACAGGGTGTGTGGACAGTGTTCCTCACCGGTTCCCAGAGAAGGGGTCAGGGGGCTGCTGCTGTCCCAGCTCACAGTCAGTGCCTGACACCCGAATGGGAGGCTGTTGCTTCCTCGAAGCAGTCGCTACTTACTGGGCTGGCTGCTGAGGTGCAGAGGCAATGCGAGCACCCTGCAAGCTGGAAACTGGATGGCCAATCGACAGGCCAGAGTCCAGGGCAGCTTGAAAACATGCTGGGCGTGCACACGGGGTGCTGGAGAGCTGGGGGGCTGGGGAGCTGAGACCCTGCCAAGAGTGCCTTTCTCCCCCTCCCTCTCATGAAGCCATACCACATACTATCGTACATTCCTTTAAAGGGGAGAAAAAAGGGAAGGAAGGAAGGCCAGAGAGGAGGGAAGAGAGGGAGGGAGACACCTCTAAAAGGGCAGGAAGGGAGGGACACTGAGAAAACAAGGGAGTCCAGTTTCACATAGGTAACTCATGGCTCCTGCCCCCCACACTGCCAACACAAAGAGACTGGTATAGAGACCAGCAGATGGCGCAATGATTATGTCCACCACGCCCACCATTCCAGTCTCAGAACTGGTGGCTTAAAACTCACACCGGGGGAGACCAGCAGTTAGCATAATGGCTATGTCTCTGGACTCTCACAAAGTTGACCACGGTTTGAGTCCCCGACCCGGTGGCTTAAACTCATGCCGGGCGCATATACGTGCATGCCCAAAATCCCTGGAGGAGACTGGAGGAAAGGGGACTGCAGCATGGCCATCTCCCCAGGGGGTCATCTCTCATTTTCTGTCTCTCTGTCTCTGTCTCTCTGGGGAGCGCACATGCCCTGTAGCAAAAATTTCTGCAAAAAAAAAAAATGTTGGTATTAGAGAGAGAGTACAGCCTTCCCCCTGGCCTAGTGGTACTTGGAACAGGGGCCAGTCCTGTAGCCTAGTAGTTAAGGGAGCCAGCTCCTACAGGGCCGAATCCTGGCCCCAGCGGCTGGAAAAACAACACCTGGGTACTAGTGCGAGGTGCCACATCCTACAGGACAGAGAAACAGACGGTAAGGGATGCAGCAAGACCAGGTCCCATGGGAGTTGGGTTCTTTCTCTTTTTCTGTCTCTCTCTGGCAAGCACATGTACCTCTGGCAAATAAAAAAAGAAGAGGAAATAACGACACCCTATAAAATCAACTTTTTTGGTGTGCTAATAGCTGCGTAGAAATCAATCCTCCATTAAAGTAAGACGCGAGAGAATACCGCTGCGGATCAGTACTATGGGAGTGCCAGGCTGTACGGACAATAACCAACCCAAGCCCTGGGAGCTTTCTCAAACCAGATAAAGATTTATAAACGTATGCATTCTCAAAGGTGCAACGAAGAAAAGTCATGACAAGAGCCTTCAAAACTTGTCCACTACCTCCAACACCCCCGGGCAGCAGCTGCTCCTGTGAGGAACCTGCACTTCGAGGCGTGGTTAATCACCGGTGGCAACAGAAGAACAGGCAAGAAATTCAAACTCTATCGAGACCTGAACAATTACAATGAGAGGGCTCTCAGGGAAGTGCAGGGAAAGCCAAGCAGGTCACAAACCACCCCGCGCTGGACACCCTGGCTGCCCAGTCCTGCTCTGCGAGTCTCATTCCCACCCAGGCAGGCCGCGGAGGCGAGTCCCCAGGAGACGGGAAGCAGGCGAGGGGCATCGCACCGGCCTCTCGTGTCCTCGGCCTGGGCAGGAAGGGCGCGCAGGGGGTTCTCAGCCCCGCTGGGAAGGAATGCTGGCGGGTCCGCTCAGGAGCGAGGGCCCGGGGTGCTGCAGGTGGCCGCGTCCAGGCCGCGTGAGCTCGGTCCCGCGCGCCGCCCGATCCCGCGTGCTTAGGAGACCCAGCCCGCGCCCGACGGCCGCTCCCGGGTCACCTTCTGCGCGCCGGAGCCGCGGATCCGCGCCGCGCGGTCATAGACGTGGGCGCGGG